TAATGTCTAGGTGTTAGAAATGTAAACACATAAGAGTTATGTGATATGTGTGTAATTCTTCCTTGACTAAAGAAAATCAACTGAATTGTAGGCCTATGAGTGCAGAAATTTCAGTCCTCCTGCCGAATTCTAATCAACTCCAAGAACTGGAGGAGCATATCTCCCACAAGCATGGTGGGAACTCTAGCCTTTGAGAGCCTTTCTCGGAATTCCTTATGATTATTTTCTAGAACAGAAGCAGTCCAAGGATAAACAACAAGTCTAGTCTGTAGTCTCTAACAAATAACATTCTTTACTTGTAATAGGAACTAGGAAGCGCATACTTCCAAGAAGTGTGCTTGCCACTGCTATTACTTAAAGACTTGCAGACTATGTCAGTGTCATCAGAGTCATTCAACAAGTTATCCAGTGAAGGTCTACATATAAAAAAAAGTTCCTGGCGCTACATATTCTTTTAAAACTTAACAATGATATTACGAAACTATCTCTAACCACAATAACATCTCCTGTTAAGAAAGAAACAAGAGAAATTTGATTAGAGTCTGGCTATAGAGAAAGTATAGTTGTGAAACAAACGGCAATAGCCACAGAATTCTTATGTATTTTCATATCTACTCTGGACTTTATTGTTTACATCTATACCACCACAATCTTTCATAAAAAAAATGCGGCCGTTTTAACTTTTAAATAATGCAATATACCTTTTTTTATTTTTTATTTTATTTTATTTTATGCATAGGTAAGATGGCATGTAGGTAGACATTGAAGTTTAGGTGTTAGATATGTAAATATATATGAATTGAGTGGGTATGTATGCGAATCTTTTCTAATTCTTAGATGACCTGTGATATATAAATAACATGAGCAAGCATAGAAACAAGCCAAGGCTTTGTTACCCAACTATTGCAATTGCTAAGGTTCTGTGTTCCAAGTGTTTTGGAAGCCTGCACTCCTTCCTTTTCTACCCTGCTACCTCTGATGCGGGCGAGAAAGAGGGCTGGCCACGTGATCCTGGCCGAGAGAGGAGGAAGAAGAAGAGTTGAGCAAGGAGGGGGTCAAACGAGAGCCTTCAGTGGTGAGAAGGAAGAGGCGAAGCCGAACAGGGAAGAAGAAGCCGAGCGGGGGCTTCGAACTGGGGGAGATGGCATTCGGCTATGTTTGTTCGGTGTGAAGAGAGGAGGAGGCGAACGACCTCGGTCGGGTTTGGAAGAGACGAAGCAGACGTTCAGCGGAGAGGGGAGGAGGCGTGCTTCGATGACTAGGGAGGAGAGCTGAGTGCGAGTAGAAGAGGGGACCGAATGCCTGACGAGGAAGAGACGAGCGGGATTTGTATACCACGAATTCCAAATACCCCTTATGCTTGCATTGGGCGTGGAATTAATTTGTTTCTATGCGCGAAGGAGTTTTATTCGGAAAATAACATTCTCCAATTAAATTTAATTAATGTAAAATTGAATGGTTAATTTGAAATTTGAAATTTTGTGAGCTGGGGTGATTAGCCTGTGTTCAGCCCGCATCCAACCCAAACCGAACTTGAGTTGAACCTGGTTTGAGTCTAGGCCTGCGCCCCGCTTATTAAAAAATTGTGCATCGATTTTTATGCTAATTACTCACGCGCGAAAACATAGTGATTTGGGTGTCATTCCTAGCTAAAGTCGATGTCCCGAACGCATCCGTGTGGTCCGTTTCGTCATTCGAGGTCGTTCGGACAAGTTCGTCGATAGTCAAGTAAATTCAAGTCAAAATCGTAAGTGGTGCGATGCGTGCGCCAAATGTTGCGTTAGTGAGGATTTGAGTCGCAAGAGGTTTCCCTAAGGGCTGCTCCTATTCATGTAGGAACTCAACTCAAGTTTCATATGTCAGTTCTAACCAACTCAGCAAAATGCCGAGGATTCGGGACCTCCCATATGAGACTTGAAGAAGTGACAAGGTGACTTGAATTTTCTAAATGGTGTGAGTCCCGTACTAGTCCTCTAGGAGGGTCAAAAAAGGGAAGCCTAAAGCTAGACCCTAGGATTTAAGGAGAGAAGTGAAGAATTAACCCGAAAATGAGGTCAACAGCGGCTAGACAAGAAAATAGTACGTCCGGACGGCGGACATGCGGATGACGACGTGGATCACACCATGCCGTCCAACACATGGCGTGGTGCGTTCCACGCCGTCGAACGCATGTTCGGGTAACCCGACATAATATTTTCTCGGTCTAAAGGTCAATGGCTAGGCCCTCATTATTATTATTTTTTTATTATTCTAAGTGACATGGATGATTTTGATTGTAGTGTGGTTGGCAAAGGCATGGGGAGGTAAGTATTTGAGCGCTTGAAGTAGGAAGAACATGGGATTGGTGGTGGTTTCCACTACAATAAATTAAAACGGCGTTTACATTATAATAATTGCTATTTTTAATTTATTATTATTTTTTAGAATCATTGATTTACGTGTTGTTTATTTATGTGCATAACCTAAGCTATATGGGTGTCCTTCCTATGAGAAATCAATGTTTCAGATGCGTTGACAGAGTTTTTTTGTGATCGGATGTCATTTGAGCAAATTTGGCAATGATCAAGATGACTTAGGTTTGAATCGAACACATCGCACCGTCAATTTGTCGATTTCATAATGCTTGCTCATTTTAATTGTAGAAGAATCCTCAGTCAATTTTTGTTTTTTGGATGTGCTTGCGCAGTCTATTTTGTGATCGAATGTTATTTAAGTAATTTCAATGACGGTCGAGACTTGTCGGGTTCAACCTGCAAGCTTCGTGTTGGTGGTCCATCGATTCACCACCCTTGCTCTTTTTGATCGTGAAAGTCTCCTTAGGTAATTTTGATATTTCGGATGCGCTCGAGTGGTATTTTACAATCAAAGATCACTTGAGCAATTTTGATGATGGTCAATGTTATTTGGGTCTAAATCGCACATGTTCCGCCAATAGTTCCTCTTTTTAATTGTGCTTGGTCATTTTGATCATTAAAGATCTCTCATTGGGTAATTTTGATATTATGAATGCAACGACAGAGTTCATTTTGCAAGTAGGCATTGTTTGAGGAAGATTTCAAACATGCACGAGGCATTTAAAGTTTGATCACGCAGTGTCACATTCTTCATTTGATGTTCTTGTCATGTTCAATTAATTCATCTTGTGGAATATATGTGAGAGTCAACAGTAGCATGATGGGATATTTTTAAATTCTAGTTTTGGATAATATCCACATGATGAAGGCCCAATCAATAATTCTTTATGTAAGAAGCTAATAGCAATTAATTCTAATTAAACTCTAGCCACAAAGCCTTAAAATAAGCCATTGCAACATCCACTTATAAAGGTTTTTTTAAAAATTGAAGCCAAGGAGAATAAGATAGATTGGTTGAAGTGGTGCAAATGAAATCATGGAAAGGTGGTTCAAACTGAAGTAACCGGAGGCTCTCTAGAGCTATTGAAATTGGGGGATTATTTTAACACGCATATCGAGGGCCCGTTGATATAGCAAGAATGACATGAAAATAGTTTGGTGTAATATGCTTCTAAAGAAAGCCTTATGAGTATACATTGATGGTCAATAAGCCTAGCAGAATAATCAACTTGTAGCTACAAATCAGACATGAACTTGCAAACTAGCTTCATGTTAAGAAGACCTATAGTACTCTTTATCCTCATCTATAGAATGAAAAATTAATGGGCTGTTCTGCGATTTAACATGTATAACAAGCATGCATTAGAGAATTTAAGATCATATGGTAGTTGGCAGCCCCCAAATACAAACTCTTTGATATTTATGCTGAAGATCACAATCATTGACTATTCCCAATCATTAACATCTTGAGGTTTTTATTACGGTTCATTTTGATTTGCTGAAGTTTTGTATCGTAACAATTTCAAACTGTGTGTGTGTTTGTGTGTGTGTTGAGTGTGTGTGTGATGAGCTTCTTTGTCAATGGGAAAATATCCAATTCTATTCCCAATCCTTAACATCTTGAGGTTTCTATTACGGTTCATTTTGATTGCTTAAGTTTTATGACACAATAATTTCAAACTCTGCGTGTGTGTGTGTGTATGTGTGTTTGGCCTTTCAAGTATCACTGTATTCATTATAATCATGGTTGTAAAAAGTTAATACGAATTAAGTCACTAACTATCGTAATGATTTTGTTGTCAACAAACTTTTGTTAAAAATGATTGATAAAAAAAGCTCTTTTTTTATTAATCTATATTAAATAACAAGAGTGGTCCGTCTACTGAACTCCAAGCCATATGGAATCTAATGGTTTGAAAAGCATTAAATCTCTTCTCAATCGATCATTAAGGAGTAAGCCTTCTTTTCCTCTGTGTCTGTGTATGATTATAAGGTCCTGCTGGCAAGCTAGGTGTAGGGACTGCAACCTAATCAAGCGTTGTCAAAAATTTTTTGGTTTCATGTATTTGCCTTTTGTCTGCTCTGCTGACTGGCCAGCAGGGAAAAGCTCTTCGGTAGTGAGATATTTTTAACGTCACATTGATATCTAAATTCTCTTCTGATGATTCCCCACCCATTCAATTTTAGATATAAAACATGTCACCTTTTTGGAATTGCAGAAGACATTTAAAAAGAGAGAAGAAGATTAGAAGTATCTCTACAGTCATAAAATTACTTCTTTTTGGCACGAATATATGATAATTTTTTTTAAGTTCACCTTCTTTTTTATATTTCGTTAACACATTGCCTTGTGCATAAGGGTATGTATAACACTGATATGTGATATATTATTGGTGATATATGTATTGAAACTGAAAGCATCCATTTTGGAGCTCATGTAGATAGATGCCTGCATTAATTTATGTTGAGGCTATGATACCCTTTTTCTCTTGCTTTGGTTTTCTTTACCAACATGCTTTATTAGCAACATAGATTTTACATTTTTTTTTTGCTAGGTTTCATTATTAATTTTTTGCTTGCTATGCTCTATAAATTCTGATATCTGATTGATACTATCCACTTAAAAGATGGCGTTTGCAATGTCAGGTGCTGCCACGAAAAATGCTTGATTTCCTTGATGCTCCAGTTCCCTTTATTGTGAGTTCCAACAATCCTTTTTATTTATACTTTTTAAATTTAGTGTAGTCAGGCATTTTTGTCTCTTAGAATTCAACTTTAATTGAAACTAGTTCTTTTCTTTGAGGATGCATGCTTAATATTGTGCTGTTTGGCCAATCATTTCTTTGTTCAACTTGGGTTGTTATGCTTTCCTTTCATCATCTTGTGAAGTCTTTACTTTTCTATTTTGAAATATGATATATTCTAGTGCTTGTGGCGTCCACAATTTGGATGTTAACATACCATTTTTCTTATTATCAAAAATACTGGACATGCAGACCAAGCATTTTGCCAACTCTTTGCTTCAACATCCTACATTTTATATTAAATTGCTTTCTGTACGCATTTTACACTGATCAGGGTTAGGTTTTAATCTTGTGTTGTTTGATTCACTCGCTCAGAGAGTACACCCATGTTTACTACAATAATTTTAGAAACGTAATAATTTAATCCATTGAGGTTAATATTTTTGGAAACTGTATATTCATCCACTTGAAATTGATATTATATTTTAAACAGCGCTATGTATGTCTTTCCTTAGTTTTATTGAGGTAATTTATTGGCAAGAGTTGCACTTGAAAGACTTTTATGTGAATTTATTGACCTCGAAAAAAATTATGATCGAATAGTGGGAATTGCTTTTGGTGTTGAGGAAGTAAAGTGTCTGTTAAAGGTGTGATAAAATCATTAAAGAAATATTTGAAGTATTGACCTATATTTGTAGTTATAGAGTGACCCAAGAGTTCTAATCTGCAATCTGATTTATTTAATATTAAGTTTTCATCTTTCATACCTTGTGTATTTTTCTTAATGATACGATTTTAATTCGTGAGACATCTAGTAGAGTTAGTGATTAGATAGAATAATAGAGAAAATATTTAGGCATTAAAATATGTTGGGATAGTAGAATAAAGATTAAACATATGATGCTTAATTTGAGTGGGTGTGATACTTAAATATATCTACTAAAAGATTGTGATTGCTTTAGTTTCTTGGGTCTAGTATATAAAGGAAGGAGGTATATGTGAGGCTATAATATATTTAAGGCTTCATAGTTTAAAATGGAGAAGTGCCCCAAAATTATTATGCAATAAGAAAATGAGTTTTTTCTTCATGGAAAGAACAATCAAATAAAAGATACGTCTGACGAACTTGGCTTTCCTTTCTTTGACTGTTCAACTACTAATTTACAGGAATGACAGCACCATGAGGCTTGTAAGCTTACGTTCTGAGTTTTGAATACTAAAGCACTCCATCTCCATGCAAGGAGAAATCTATCCAAACTCTCCTACAAATTCAAGACTTAAATTCTCTGTTAGATAGTCTTCTTAGCTCTCCCGAAAATGATCTTGGTCAATCTATTGGTTCCAAATTCATTATCCCCCATCTATGAGTGCACATCTTTCGAAAGCTTCTCCTCTGCTTGTGAAGTATTTTTTACAAATATTAGTTCCATTAAAATTTCATAAATCTTTTGAGACATTAGGAAACAAAAATTGGTAGGAAGGAGATCCATTTGGATTACTTTTCCTCATCTTTGGATCACTATTTCAATCAATTCCCCATATTATTTTGGCTTTTTTTTTTTTAATCAGTTCAGGTGGATGCTGCTACTGCTAAGTGTTTTAGACATCTATGGCTATTGCTTTTGTGAAAATGGTTCTAATTGCCCCTTTAGAGAAGGAGATTTTGATTTGTTACTACTAGTTGAGACTACTAACATAAAGTAGAATTTGAAGGAATTTCTTCATATTCTTTGTGTAATATTTTTTGTAGCATATTGAAATTTAGAATAATGCAAAATTAAGCTAAATTTTATTTATATGAAATGGAGTATAAATAACTCTTACATTAATCTTAGAATAACAAAGGTAATAAAAAGAAAATAATTTGAAAGAAAACATTTATCGCCTAATATCTCCAATTAATCAATACATATTAATTATTTGGAGATAAAGGAAATAACATAAAATAAGAAAGCCTAAAATAAGAAAGGAAATAAATATAATCCAAGAAAATAAATCCAAAATAGGGAAATAAATAAAATTATATTAGAAAATAAATCTAATCCTCATAACTTCTAACACCCCTCTCAAGTTGAAACATGGTTGAAAATTATGTTAAACTTAGATTTGAAAACATAAAACAATGGGCGAGAAAAATCCTGTGAAGTAGAACTTGAAGTCTCATCTCGTACTGTAGTTCCTGAAGTCTTTGTAGGTAGGCGGAAGACTCCTATATATAATGTTGTAGAGGAGTTTGCAGGGAAGTAGACAACTGCGGTTGTTTTTTACTGTAGTTACAATAATGTTTGTAGGTAGGCGAAAGGCTCATACAAGTGATGGTGCATGGGACTTTGCAACGAAGTAGACAATTACGATTGTCTTTGATTGCAATACATGCATTGTCTGTATGTAAGCGAAAGACTTCCATAGGTAATGCTGTCGGAGAGTTTGCGGTGAAGTAGACAATCAACATGAGAAAAACCGACTTCTAGTTAACGATGGTTGTCTTGGACTGCAGTTCCTGCAGTGTCTGTAGATAGATGAAAAATTCTTATAGGTAATGTTGCTAAAGAGTTTGCAGGAAAGTAAACAATCATCAGAAAAATATGCACGGTATGACCTACAGAAAAAGAAAAAGCTCCAGAGGTAGGCCTCACTGCAGGAAATGATCCAGAGGAAGGCCTGTTCCAGGAAAGAGTTTCGGTGGCAAAGGAAAAACAGAGAAAGACCTGCATAGAGTGTTTTGGCAACAGAGAAACAAACCGACGATTGGTGGCCCTACCAGCTGGGAAATAAGTAGTTGGGTGCATGCGGATCTTCATAGTGAAACAAAATACAGAAGGGAATATATAGCGTTACAAAGCACGATTGGTGGCAAAATGGTATAGTGAGATGTTGACATTGACTATGAAGAAATCTTTACACCAGTAGCGAATATGAGCGCAGTGAGGATACTTGTTTATCTGGCAGTGAATGGTGGATGAAGGTTGCACCAACTAGATGTTAATAATGTAATTTTTTTATGGTGAGTTATTGGAGGTGTATATGGAGATACCACCAAAATTCGTTATTGGTCAGATAGTGGACAAGGTCTATTAGTTTAGGAAGTCACTTTATGACTTGAAGCAGTCTGCTCGAGCTTTGTTTGGCAAGTCTAAAAAGGTTATGGTGGGCATGAGATATCTACAGATCAATGCCGACCATACAGTTTTCTTTTGACAACATGGATGTCACACTACTATGTTTGTTGTGTATGTTGATGATATGTTTGTTGCTAGTGATGATGAGGTTGATATTGCTCATCTAAAGGTAAGACCAAACAAAGGATTTGAGGAGGACATTTGACAACTCAAATACTTTCTTGGGATTGAGGTGTCCCGTGGATCAAAGGGGATGATCTTGTCTCAGAGGTAGTAAGTATTTGATCTACTCACAGAAAAAGACATATTAGGATGCAAGCCTGTAGTCTTTCCAATTGATCAAAAGGCTAAGCTGAGTGCAGAGGCAGGATAACAGGTTGATCTCGAGAGGTACCGAGATTGGTGGGTAGTTTGATCCATCTTAGTCATTCTCATCCTGACATCTCATTTGCAATGAATGCGGTGAGTGACTACATGTATGATCCAAGAAAGAATCATATGAATGCAGTGTGTCAGATTATGAGGTAAGAGGTTGATCTTCAGATAGAATGAGCATGTAGGCATTGAGGACTATTGTGACCTTGACTGGGCGAGTTGTGATGATGATAGGAGGTCCACATTAGGATACTGCATGTTTGTAGGGGGCAATTTGGTCTCTTGGAAGAGCATGAAACAATTGGTTGTAGCAAGGTCAACAACATAGGCAGAGTACAAAGCGATTACCTTAAGAGTTGCCAAGATGATGTGACCGATAGCCTTGTTTGTAGAGCTCATGGTGGTCCAAGGAGCTCAAATGAATTTGTGGTGCGATAATAAGTTGGCAATCAGTATTGCCAAGAACCCGATGCAACATTATAGAACCAAACATGCGGAGATTGATAGGTTCTTCATCGAGGAAAAGCTAAATAATAGACTAGTGGAGCTAGGTCGTGTAGCCATTGGAGAGCAAGTAGTTGAATGCCTCACCAAAGGACTTATTTCATTAAATTTGTCTAGGTTATGTGACAAGATGGGCTTAGTGGATATCTATTGTCAATCTTGAGGGGGAGTGTTGAGATTTGTATTTAATTTATGGTCTTATTTGTAAATAGAGGAAGTCTAGAGATTTATTTGTAAAAACGTTGTAAGGATTTATTTAAACTCAAGTTATTAATAAAATAAACTAATTTCTCAGAGTAATTATTTCTTTATGATTTTGAATCAAACTTTAAAGAGGGAATCAAATATTAGATAAAACTTTAATTTCATATTTTGCAATTATTTTTTAAGAATTTTATATCTACTTTGAGATTTTTTATTGGTGCAAACCCATAGAATTATTTACTGTTTTTTTCTGATGAGAGATTGCTTTGATTAAAGCTCGTTAATAGGCTTTAAATATTTAGCTTAAAGTAATAGGGATGTAGTTTTGAGAAGATAAAATTAATTATTATTAACTTGGAGTGGATGGTGGTGGCATGATAACAAATTTGATCAAGATCTCATGATTCAGTTGTTCTAGGTTATCGTGGATCCTAATCTTCTTAGAGGAGATTGTTGTTCCTTATGGGTTGTATTATCGGAAAGATTTTGTTGACTTTGGATGTATTGTTTAAGGAATAATTTTAAGTCGATTATGGTTAACAAAGGACTTCATGCTATACTAAAAGTGTCATTTTATGGTGAACCATCAAGTCAAAGGGCATTGATCATAACTAATATTTAGTGGTGACATTTCTTAGCTAATCACTTGATCATATGGCGTGTCACAATGAGACAAGTAATCATAGAGACATAGTTGATATGTATTAGATTTGTATAGGCAATCAAATTTCTTATCGTTATTACTTATTATTTCTTTTCTATTTGCTTCTATTCTCTCATTATGTATTTTTATTTTTCTTTATTCCATTTTATTCCTTTTCAATTTGGTTTTTTTGTTTTATTTCTTTCTTTTATTGTGTCTATTGTAATTCTATTTTGTTTGATTTATTCGGTTTTATTTCTTTCCTTCGTCAAGTAATCATAGAGACCAATTTATTTTGTTTGATTTATTCTATTCTCTAGCATCAGGGTGCCGCCTAGGCACTTATGTCGCGGCACCTAAGCGTTGCTCTTCTGGTTCCCCAACGCTCCATGTCCAACGTCGAGTTTCCAAGTGCTCAGGAAATCTTCTCCAATTCAGGCGCCTAAGCGTTGCGAGAGAGCGTCCCGGTGCTATATGCCCAGCACCCCAACGCTAGGGATGCATCGCTGACTTTCTATCCGATTTGTTTAGGCACTCCAAGGGACTCTTTCTAGGCGCCAGAACACCATTTTGTTTCTTTTTCTTCAATTCAATCCTTTTCGATTTCTGTTCATCCCCTTTCCTACTACAACCTGCAAATACAACATAAATCCTTCCTCAAAGTGCGAAATTATCTTGTAAAATCCAAAAATACAAGTAACAACAACTGCAAAATTATCAACATTTATGTCATGGTTTTACTCAGGCTTAATCGGATCATACTCTCTTTTTTCGTATTCTTCCAATGGTCAGGTAGCCATCCTAATTGTTTATGTTCTTCCTAAGTCCTTTGAAATAAAGGAATTGGGATCTCTTTGGTGCTTCTTAGACATGGAAGTGGCTCAATCATCTCAGGACATTTGTCTATATCAACTCAATCTCTTGATAGAGAACAACGTTCTTTTGTGCAAACCAGTGGCTATTCCTATGGATCCCAATGAAAAATTATCTGACATTCTCAACGTTGTGTGAATCAACAATGTTCACTACCAACGTCTTGTGGGAAAACTTATCTACCTCTCCTATACTCGCCCCAACTTATGCCACACAGTTTGTATAGTGAGTCAATTCATGCATGACCCCTATGAACACGGTTTTCAAGTTGTTCACCTGATTCTTCACTTTTTGGAAGATACAGTGGACTTAGGTTTGCTTTTCTCTCATCACACTTTTAGGTATATTGTTGTTTATATAGATGTTGATTGGGCTGGGCCGCCTCTTGACCGACGTTTCACTTTGGGGTATTACTCATTTGTATGGGGAAATCTGGTTACATTGAAAAACAAAAAACTGTATGTGGTTGCCCGGAGCAGTGAAAAAGCTGAATTTCGGTCCATGTCCGTGGGGATCCGTGAAACCATCTTTCTATTCATCATGCTTCATGAACTTCATATGCTAGCATCCGTCCTGCTGCAACTATTCTGTGATAATAAGACAACTAAAATCCAGTCCAGCATGATCGTACCAAACATGTGGAGATTGACAGACACTTGATTAAGGAAAAGATCGAGTCCGGGGAAATTTCTGTTCCTATTGTGTCCACCAATGGTCAACTAGCGGTTATCCTCACCAAAAATCTTCTATTCTCTTTGTTCGAGAACTACAAATTCAAGCTGAACATGATTGACATCTATGTTTCAACTCGATGGGGGAATATTATATTTATAACAACAATCAAATCTCTTGCCGTTATTACTTATTACTTGTTTGCTTTTAACTTTTAATATCTCATTATGTATTTTCTTTTTTACTTTATTCTCTTATTCCTTTCCTATTTGGTTTATTCTATTTTATTTTTTTCCTTTGTTGTGTCTATTATCATTGACTTTAAATACCCCTCCTATCAATAAAATTAAGCTGCTCTTTTCCAAATCTCAACAATATGATATATATATATATATAATATATATATATATATATATATTGTTACTTTATATTATCTAAGATTTGTTGCCCTCTAAAAACTAATGTGGAGGATGAGTGAATGGTAATTTTAAGTTATAAGTAGTAGATTATGTTTAAATACATTTTTTTGGGTCCTCTCATGCAACCTCTATGTATCTTTTCTATTTCAATAAAATTAGCCCTTGAGCGTTTATATAATATATATATATATATATATATATATATATATATATATATATATATACATGCATGCATGCATGCATCATAAATACATATATAGAAATATAGATATTCATACATATATATGTATATGTACATGTACATATATATGTATACACACACATATATATATGTATATATACATACATCTCTATACACACACACACACTCACACAGAGAGAGAGATATATAATATTTATATATTTATTTATATTATATTTTTATGGGCATTTAAGCAAGAAATGAATATCTTTGAGATTAGGGTATTTTGATAGTATGATCTCCTTGATTAAGATTTTTTGTTAGTAAGGCTATCATGGGGAATGTTGCTTGAATATGTTCAAGCAACGTGGTAGAGGTCAAAGCTTTCCATAGCTTTTAGCAGGTTGGACGTGTTGATACTTGATGTTTTCCAATACTTGCTTGCTTAGATTGCCTGGATTTTTTTTTATACACTTTAGTATTGTGCAATTACCATGCTAGTTTTGAAAAATTACGATAGGAAGAATGATATTTGTAATTGGTTTTACAGGTGGGTATACAATTTAAACCATCAGACAAAAGACTGAAAGCAAACAATCTTATACGGGTTAACGTTTGCAAGAACAAGGTTTGTTTCTCATACACAACTGACTTATTTTTGTCTAAATTTTGAATTCCTCGGCCTGAACTTTGTTTCCTAAAAAAAATCCCTATTCTCTTCTAAATTTCTTTGGGAGACATTGTACCAGATGAAAGTTTCCCATATTCCTCCAAAAATAGATTGAGTTGTGGCATAATCAGTTGTAAAAACGTGTCTAAAATTGGATAAGCAATCGTCCACTGCAAACAATTTTATGGTTTCTCCTCTTGTAGTTTTCATTTCTAAATATTTGCAAAAATATAACGTAAAATTTGTAAATACTAAATAACCCATGATAATTTTAACTATATAAATTTTGGAAAATACATTTAATTAGTTTATGGAGAATTACTTTGTCACGACTTGGTCGGGTGTTTAGAATTAACTAAGGTGGAAATTGCGGTCGGACGGTATTAACATCTAACTATCTACATTTTGAAAACTTCTAATACATATAAAATATCCACTAATTAACAAGTGCAATAAAATATAAAGCATCCAGAAGCGATAACATCCAAAAATAACTTCCCAATCCAGTACTGAACAATAAATTAACATCTGAAGAATAACAGTAAAGTGAAACTATCATCATAAAAAACAACTAGCATCAGTGATCCTCTTTTGGTAAACAAAGTCTCTCTTATCAGACATATTTTAGCCTAAAAGTTTTCTTCTCTTGAAAGAAAACATTTAATTTCAACTGTAAGTAAGACTTAATGAGTAATTATAATCTGATATGCATTAAATTTGTATGTTATGTTATGCTATGTTATGCATGATTGAATAATAAAAAATGTAGTTAGTTTCATTAAAGTTTTAAACTTATCTCTTCCCGTTTCACTTTAAGTATTTACCATTTTTTAATCTTTTTAATAGTCATCACAGGATTGCCGTCATACTCGAATGTATTCTCTAAATGTGCCCGAAGGAACCCTCAAAATGTGTCTGAAAACACCTTAAAAAATGTAGCCGAAGGTAACCTCAAATTGCACTCGAAGACGCACATTTATCGTTTCCTTTAATATGCACGGTATATTGCATCCTCTGCCAGTACCATCTGGAGTTAATTTTGACTTAAACATATAACTTTCATTTCATTTTATTTAAATTACATTATTTCAAAGACATTGAGCATTATTTTTCCCCTTCCCTTTCATTTTCTTTCATTCCTAAGCTACAACATGCATACAAACATAAAATAATTGTCCAAAGCATTAAAAAAAATTATCTAATAAACTTTAAATTTTATACATATAAAAAAATAATTACTCACCTTACATAGAAGACCTCTGAAAAAATTTATTACTTCTCCTCACTTCCTAGCACCTAAACCAATAAAATGTGCATATACTTATAAGAACTTTATTTTAATGGAATGACTTAAATATAGGTAGCTTATTTAAAGATGTAAAAATGATTAAAAAATCTAACCTCTATTGACCTTAAAGTTCTTAGTCTTCCTCAAAATTTGAGAATTTATCACTTTTCTGTACCCTTTTGATTACATAAAAAAATTTAATAATATTAATTTTAATAATTATACTTTTTATTCTAATAACAATATCATTAATATTTACCTTATAAGTTGCTTAGATCGATCCTCCTTACCCCCACGCTCCTCCAACTTCTCCTTCGAATCTAAAATTATTATATTAACGTCCTGATTAAATTTTTATCTTGCATTTAAACACACACACACAAATTATAAATTGTATATATAATAACAAATTAACTTTAAAAAAAATATTAAACATACCTTAAATAACTTCCCTAGCTTACACACGAAGCTTATCCATTCCTACATTCCTCAGCTCGATCGCATGAGTTCCTTCGGTCCCATCTCACCCCAACAGAGCACAGGTGCAATCCCTTCCTTCCTATAAACATGACGAAGCAAGGATTTCCTCGCCGTTCACCTTCTATTCTTCTTTCGGACTAGGGCACAAAGTTGTACAGTAACCACAACTTCTTCCTTCTCCTATGCAGCTTCCTTTACTCTTCCTCGCTTGTGATTGTTTAGCGTTAACTTGATGGCAAAACCTTACCTTTGTATGCTATACCTTTTCAGGTATGTAATTTCTTAGCTTTTGCAGGTTAATACGTGCTCTTTGCCTCAACTTCCACGCTATAGGGAACTTGTCTCTGAACTGACTCCAGTTTATGCTAGATTAGCATGTGAAGATTCCATAGCTAAAAGGCATCCTGTATATAAATGCAGTGAAGTTCAGGTGATGTTATGTTTATTTTTATTCCCTTTTGTGAACTAATATTGTAGTGTTTATGCTTTATTTGTATTATCAAATGTAATTAGTAGCATAATGAATGTTGTATTTAGCATCTGACATATTTTCTTGGAGATTTTTTTTTTTTTGGGTTGAATTTTTATACCATAAAATTTTTTCATGCGCTAAACTAAATGGTTTCGGAATTAGTTGCAATTTGTTTGTTGAACTGTACACCTGCTGTTAATTTTTACAGCTTTCTAAGATATGGTGGATGACCTGGTTGACAATGTCCTTGTTGTTACGTAAAATACCTAATTCGTTAACTAATGCTGGTAATATTAGAATGGGAAGAAATGCAATAATGTTGACCTAGTATATTTAAACTTAGACAGGACTGTCAGATGCTGGAATTATTTGCCCTTTATTTTGTATCCACAACAGTACAACGTTGATAATTTATTTTTTTCTCTAACCTTACGGACTTATGATGACTAGATATTGAATAATTTATTGAGGTTATTGTACTGCCAAACTAATTTTTTCCACTTTGTATATATTCTGTTATTTGATCATTCATATGCTTCCAGGCTCATTTTCTGATTTATATAATATCCAAAAGATAATATTCATCATTTTTAAAGGAAAACATTGGTCAATCTGAATTTATTGTGATTATTGAAGGGTATAAATAAAAAATGACTTTAATTTCTGATCCATGTTTTCCAATATTTATGATATTCATACTCAAATATTTTTTGATTTTAGGAATTTTCAACTTGTATAATTTTGCCTTTAAATTTTCCGTAATTGGGAGATGTGAAACATTCATGTAGAGTCAGCACGAGGTTCTTGTTCCATCATTTGCTTTTTTTTCTTTTTGATATATTGCTAGTGGAAAGTATTTGGTATGGCATCTAACATAGTAAGTTATATTGGATTTGAGAACGTGCGATTTCCCTGTGAAGTTACAGTGATCTTCTAGGTCTTCATTAACCACCTCTTTTTGTTGGGAGTAAAGTGCCAACAGAGTGCCAAGTTACAGTGATCTTGACTATTTACATGGAGCCATTTTAATGTTAGAGTCTAAAAAAAGTGCCAAATTAGTCACCATACTTTTTTAATATGGGTTGAAATATGGTCTTCAAGGAGGACTATTTTAGCACTCATTAAAAGAATCATGGGACTAAAATGACAATTTTATAAACTGGGACTAAAATGACCCTTTCAAAAAGTCAGGAGACCATTTTGACACTTTGTTCATTTATTTGGTAACTGGGAACTAGTTTGAGCCACATGAATAAGTTGATTATTCCCCTTTCTGATAATGCTGTCTCTTAGATAGTAGGAGCGCTAGGTTGTTCAGTGTCTTTTTTTTTTTTTTTTGTTTCTAATGAAGAATAATTTTCATGTAAGCTAAAAAGTTCGACAAGTTACAAGTGATCGAAGAATCTATATCACTTACATGTTCTAAAGATCTCTTAAAATATGATTAGCCTTCTCTTTCCCTTTTCTTTCCCTTTTGGCCAGTATAATTGGTTCTGCAAGATTTTTATCTTTGTTTATGGGGTTTTAGAGCTGCGCCAGCAAATATGATGATGACAAGGAGAAAACATGGTGATAGCTGATGTCTGTGGAGCTATGGTGAAAGGCTTTCTTTATAGTTTCATGATATTGAAAAGATGTCTCCAAAGAGAATCTTAGCTTATTTATCAATGATTTCCAATGATGCAACATTAAAAAATGCCAATCCCATAGCTATTTTTGTTTTCTTTGGAATAAATCGTTAAAATGGAAGGTCCTAAGTGAGATTTGAATAGTTTATGTGAAATATGGTTATGCTAGTGCAATATGAGATTTTTCTTTTAATGATGGAAATATTTTTTTTTTGCTCTAAAATTCTTTGGTTGACCCTAAATCTTAATCTGCTTCATCTACATCATGCAAAATAAACTCGGTCGACACCTTGTAATCTAATTGTGACATCGTCATTACCCAATTCTAAACTTTCTCTCATCACAAAATCCTGTTGCTATCCTGAAGACTCTACTTGGTGCATCTTCTCATGTCTATACATTTTCTTCATGTTTTACATTTATATTAGAACTTCTATCTGCAAATTCAGTTCATCTATAAACATAGTTCTGTTTGGACAAACTCAAAACATCTGCTTATTTCTTTTCTAAAAAAATATACATGCTCCGGTGCTGTCATTTCAGTCAATGAGGATTTAGATGCGGCAACTTTTTTGCCTTTTTGTATTATTTCCTTTTGTTCCAAGTGGCCTTTCTGACGATTAACGTATGCTTAATGCAAGGAACTACAGGCAGAGGCTGCTGGAAGCTTCTTGTGCATTTTGAGACGCTTCATGGAATCACTATGTTTGAATTTGCGAGCTAACACAATTACTAATATACAGGCCAACAATGACAAGGTTTAGACATTTATCTCCTTTGTTTTGTGAAGTTTGTAATCTTCTGCATAGACAGTCATTTCTTCTTTCAGATGAATATCTTGACTTTGCTGTCTGATAGGACGTAATATTGCTTGGACAGGTTTCTCTTCTTCTTAAAGACAGCTTTATTGATTCATTCCCCATGACGGATCGACCATTCATGAAGGTTTTCTTCTATTTCCTGATATTTTCTCATCCTTAATTATATAGCCATTAGTTCTGTTATTTCTTTTGAGATATCTTTTTGGTAGCCGCTTCTGAGAATAAAGCTTAATAGGGTACTTTTGTTAATACTAAGTGTTTAAATGGGTTGGGTGGATGGGATGCCAAGAGCAGTTCAAGATTATATTTGCTAATTTTGGATTCATTTAGAATTTCACTATAGAGAATGAGTTTAAAGTAGGGTAAATGGGGAATGATGGTAGAGTATATTTATCAGTAATGAATAGCACACCATAGCATGGATCCATAGCACAACTCATGGCACGACTTATGGTATTTTAAACATGATACAAAATGTTGAAAAAATATGAATATAAATACAACTAGATTGAGTTGAAAGATAAGCCATCATACTTATAAAGGTAGCCAAGGTGATGCTTAATGTCACAGACAAAAAGTCCCATATCGGGTGACTCGAGGAAAGTTAGTCTGTGCCATTAAGCTCAACTTCTCAATGTCTCGACTACCTTCATTTGAATCTTATTCAAACTTTAACCGAGCTACGTGCAAATGTGTGATGAACTTGACAGAGCAAAGAACATCACAAACATCTTTTTTGCTATGGGGGCAGGTAAGATGAGAGATCATATGGTGAAGGTGTATACGAGAATAGAGACATGTGATAGAATTAGCATCATATTTAGGAGAAGAGATGTTTGCAATAGAGCTCATTGAGGGAAGGCATCATTATAAGTGTGTGAAGAAGTGTTTGCAATAGAAGCTCGCCTAGTGAAGGCATTGACAAGCTTGATCATGTGCAGTTCGCAATGCGTGCTCGTTGAGGAAGCCATTGCTAAGAGCTCGGTGTGTCAAGGATAACAGTGGTTTTGTTTACGATCGTCGAGCCTCTTCGACAGTTGAACATGATAGAAAGAGGTTCAAAATCGATTTAAATATAGTTCAAATTCTAACATGTTCAAACCTATCACAGTACGTTGACCTACTAAAAAAAAGCAATTCACAAATACAAGAGGTGAAATCTCATTTGAGGTAATTAAGTCTGAAATGAATTCTTTGATATATTTCCTTGAGAAAATTAGTAGCAGGAATATTTTGTCACTTTTTTTGCAACTATGTAGTATGAAGTCAAAATTCCTTCTCTAAAATCCTAAATCATTAAATTAAAGTAGCTCGTGCTGTGTGGGCAATACTTATGTGCTATTGCCCATGTAGATGCTCTATTTTAATCAATTGTGTTGCGTCATAAAGTGGCACAGGAGATGCATTGCACTACACTACACATCATAGTTCTATGCTATTTTGTGCTATAAATTTGTGAACTAGAGTAGATGGCAGAATTTGGTGGAGTTTAAGAGGATGTTGAGGCGTAGAAAATAAGATTAGGTTATGTTGTTCCTAATTTGGCTTAGAGCTCTGTTTGGAGAGTTTGTGAGGCCTTGAGTGATGGGCTGCATTACAATTCGGAACCAAAATCACCGAACAAACAACGAAGAAATTGCAATAGATAGGTGGAAAAAGTCAAAACAAGGGATGCTCTTACGAAAATTGAAGGAAAACAAGCAAAATACAATTATGATGGTACTATTCGAGAGATAGACCTAGATTTTGTGAGGAACACCACAAGAAGAAAAGAATACAACAGTTAAAACCTACATGAAAACAATTCCTAGCCCCCTTCTCGTCCTAACTACTTCACTTAAATCCTTCCAAACTATTTCCCCCAAATTCCCCTTGATTTCTTTCCTTCTGCGCGTGAGCAACGACTTCGTGACTACCGCCTGGGCGCTGGAATTGCGCCCCGTATCGTCCGACGGGATTGTCTTGCTTCGATCGGCAGCCCATTGCTTTGGCTTGGGCTGTCTGGTCCTCACTGGACTGGTTTCGCTAAAGTAGCGAATGGACATGTAACAACACTCTCCTCACAAAAATGCGCTTTATCCTTAAGGTGAAAGGATGAAAACTGTTTTGGGATCCTATCGTAAGGATCCCCAGATAGTTTCATAGTCAGGTAGTTCTTTCCGCTTAATCAGTACCTCTTTTGCTCCTTCCACCCCCAGATGCACCCCTTCGATCTCTAAAGGTTTCAGAACCACCTCCATGTCCTCCGTCAGCGTCAGTGGTAGTGAAGATGAATGTGTATGATCTTTGATTGCTCGTCTCAGCTAGAAACATGAAACGTGGGATGTATTGTCGATGATGGTGGTAGCCCTAAACGATATGCCACTGCCCCAATACGTTATGTAATCTCGTAGCGTACAAAATATCGTGGGGAAAGCTTCTCCTTCTTGTCAATATCTTCTGTTAATAGAGCCTCAACCTTAAGTAAACCATGTCCCTGAACTTGAATTGTATCTCCCTCCTATGCCCATACATCTTCCTCTTCATGATCTATTGGGCTCTCAGGAGATGCCAATATATACTCTGTCCCTCCCCTCCATGTATTGGTCAACACTGGATATTGATCGACGTTGTGTCTGTAGTGTATCAAGTGAGGTGGATCCCGCTCATACAAATCTTAAAGGGGGTGGTATGTGTCGCGGTGTGGTATAAAGTATTATACCAATATTCTGCCCACACAATCCATCTGACCCACAATTTTGTCGTATCTTAGACAAAGCAACACAAATGTCTCCACACTCTTGTTGATCGCCTCTATTTGGTCATCTATTTGAGGATGATATGCGGCGCTCCTCTTATGAATCGTTCCTTGTAACATGAATAATTCATTCCAGAAGTGGTTGGGGAATACCTTGTCTCTATCTGATATAATTGATTATGATACTCTGTGTAAGCAAACCACTTCTCGTATGAATACTGTCGCCATTGAGATCGCCGTGTAAGGGTAGCGTAATGGAATGAAATCGACATACTTGCTCAGGCATTCCTTGACCCCCAGCATCACCGTGAACCCCTCTGATTGGTGCAACCACTCTATGAAATCCATGGTCAATTCCTCCCAAACCTTCTCCGTTAAGGCTAGGGGTTGTAGCAACCCTCTTGGCATCATGGTCAGGTATTTGTATTGCTGGCACACATCACACCACACCACCATGTCTTCTACATCTCTGCACATCCCAACCTAATAAAGCTTTGTCGAGAGAAGACTGTAGGTCTTCTGTACCCCGTAATGTTCCCCTACTGCACTCTTGTAATACTCCTGCAATAACCTAGGAATGTACTTCAATGTCCTCGGTAGCACAAAACGGATCTGGTAGAGTAGTTTCTCCCCCTCAATGCTATCGTGGGTCACTGTTTGGATCCTATAGCAACTCTGCTAGCATTTTCCTCAACCCTTTATCTTGCTCGCCCTCCTATCTCATTGCTTCCCAATAGAGGACCAAGGCTACTGATAATGCTGTCAGCTAAGACTCTTCCCCCTTTCTTGACAAGACATTTGCGGCTTTATTCTTTAACTCTGGCTGGTACTGAATGTTGAAATCATATCCCAACAACTTAGACGGCCACCTCTGGTGCTCCTTAGTCACCCTCCTCAGCTCAAACATGTACCTCAAGCTAATCTGATTTGTTCTAACAAGAACGTGTCGTCCCAACAGGTAGGCTCGCCACTTCTTCATGATCAAGATAGTAGCCATCAACTCCTGCTTGTAAACCAACTTGAGCCTCACCTTAGCAGTGAGCACTTTGCTGAAGTATATGCAATCGGTTGCTGGTCTTGCATGAGTATTGCTCCCAGTTCACACCCTAATGCATCTGTCTCCACCACAAATGGCTACTAAAATTTTGAATTGCTAATACTAATACACTGGTCATGACCCACTTCAGTTGTACGAAAGCATGTGTTGCGGCTTCCCCTCACTTGAAATTATCATTCTTCATCTAATCCCCCAGTGGTCATGCTATTATGTTGTACCCCTTCACAAACTTTTGGTAGTATTAGTTGAGACCTAGGAATCCCCTTAACTCCATCAAGTCTTTAGGTACAGGCCAGTCCACTATAGCCTCTGTCTTGGATAGATCTACTGTTACTCCTGCCATGATCACCATATGCCCAAGGTGCTCCACCCGGAGCTGTGCAAAGGAACATTTCTTCAAATTGACATACAAATGGTGTTCTCTCAACTTCTCTAATATTGTCTTCAGGAGCTCTACATGTCCTGTATTTGTATCACTGTAGGTCAAAATGTCATCGAAGAAAACCAAGACGAATTTTCTGAGGTAAGGCTAAAATATTCTATTTATGAGAGACTGAAATGTGGTTGGTGCGTTAGTGAGGCCAAACAGGGACTCATAATGCCCTTCATGTGTCTTGAACGTTGTCTTGCACATCTATTAGTTTTATCTTGATTTTGCGGTATCTCGATTTAAGATCAATTTTCAAGAAGATCATTGCCTCATAAAGCTCATTTAGCAACTCATCAATCACAGGAATAATATACTTATCTAACACCATCTCTTTGTTCGAAGCCCGGTAGTCCACGTAGAATTTTCAACTGCTATCTTTTTTTTCACCAACAGGACTAGACTGGAGAAAGAGCTCACACTTGTTCTAATCCCAGTCTTGAGCATCTCTCGGATCAACTTCTCTTTATTATCCTTCAGAATATGAGGATACTTGTATGATCTGACATTGATAGGGGAGACACCCTCCTTTAATGTAATAATGTGCTCGTGTTCCTTTGGGATGGTAACTTGCTTAGCTTCTGAAAGATGTTCGTAAACTATTGTAGGAGCTGTTGGACCCCTTCAGGTAACTCTGACAACCTCCTCAATGATCTGCAACTCCACCGAGTAGCTCATCCATACTCTTTTTATTGACTTAACTACAATTTTGAGCGACACCATAGTTTTGCATAAGCTAGCATCTCCTCTCAGTATCACCTTCCACCCTCCATTTGGAATTCTATCGTCAGGGATTTCCATTCCACCGTCTCCTCAAGCAACTGCAGCCACTTCATCCCCAGAATCACATGTGTGTTGCTCAACATCTAAGGGAAGTCTTTCACCACCTGTAGGTCATGTAGTGTCAAAACCAACCCCTTGTAGATTCCGTGAGTTTTCTCCTTTGCTTTCGAACGTGTCCTCCATTTGGCTCTCTATGGAAAAAAAACAAGTCTCCATGGTGACAAACCTTTTTTTTTCGTTTCCGATCTGATTTGCCGAACTTCTTGTTCCAGCACATCCACTTTCTTTGTTATCATCCCTCAAAGATGTTGTTCTTATACCAATTTGTTGCGATCCCGAACCAAAATCAGCGAACAAATAATGACGAAATTGCAATAGATAGGTGGGAAAACTCAAACCATGGTTTCTCTTACAAAAATAAAAGGAAAACAAGAAAGATACAATTATGATCTATTGTTTGAGAAATAAATCGTCTCTCCACAAACCCAAGACGTCTCTAGAAGCACCGCGAGAAGAAAAGAAAACAACAAACAAAACATGCATGAAAATAAAGCCTAACCCTCTTCTCCTAAATACTTCCCTAAATCCTTTCCAAACTTTCTCTCTCAAATCCTCCCCCCCTCCCAATTCCTTTCCTTCTATACGTGAGCAATGGCTTCATGATTTCCGCCTGGTCCCTGGAATTGCTCCCTGTATCGTGCTACGGGTTTGTCCTGCCTGAACCGACCTCCCACTACTTTGGCTTGGGCTGGCTAGTCGGACCGATTCTCCTTGGACCAATTCTGCTAAATTACCATGGGGGCACGTAAGAGGTTGCTAATCTTGTTTGGGCTTAGGATGTGGAGAGAGATGTGAGAATGATTTAGAATAGTGTTTAGAGAGGAGAAACAAATAAACTAAAGTTAAAATGATAACTATTTTATCTCATAACAAATTGTAAACTCGAAACCACCAAGCACATAGTAAAATGAAGAGAGTATTTTTCTTACTTAAATATTTCATTTAACAATGAAAATCATAAAACATTTTAGCCCATATTTATAGGCATTATAAGATTTTTTGCACTACCACAGCTGGAGGAAAATTGAGACGAAAAATTAGGGGAAACGAAGAGATATCCATTATTGAAGAAATTTTATTTACCTATTTTTAATGCTTCCTTCATTTCAAACTATACCATGGCATTCCAAAGATGTCCCTAAGTTAAGGGGGTATTTAGTATCACGTAAAGCAAAAAATTAATTTTTTTTTTTTTGAAAATATGCTTGATATTAACGGTTAAGGAGTAAAAAAGCAATCAAATTGTTGAGCAAAATATAAGAGATCTTGAGATTTTAATCAAATTAGATATATTAGAAGTGAAGCTGGGTTAAATGTGAATACATTAAAGAAAGAAAAAAGTGTCAAAATGGACAATTGACTCTTTATAGGAGGTCATTTTAGTCGCATGGTCTATAAATCCGTTAATTTAGTTCCAGCTCTTTTAATATGGGATGAAATAATCTCTAGACACTTTAAAGGGAGGGCTATTTTAGCTTCAATCAAAGGATTTTGGGGACTATAATTTAACCCTTTTATAAACTTTGTGACTATTGATACCATGTGAATAGTCAAGGGATCATTTTGACACTTGCTAACGCAATGCGATGAATAATACCTTAGAAAATTCTTAAGGAGTTTTCATAAAGAATAGAATTTAATAAACAAAATATAAGGTATATTTTCAATCTAATAAAAAAAGTTGAATGATGTTTCACTTCAACAAAGACTCGTATCGATAAAATTTTAGGTTTAGATGAGATATTTATTGAGCTTTGAAGCGATACACTTAATATTGTGGTGGTTTAATGAATAAATTTTTTTTGCAGTGGTTTGAAGAGATATAAGTAGTGGTTTGGATATATATTTGTAATATTGTAATGGTTTGATAAGTTTATTTTCTTGGATAGATTTTTTATGACTAAAAGGATATGCAAAATTATTAAGAAATAAACATGTTGATACCAATATTTAAAACTAGAAGAGATGTTAATTGCTGTGCTAATTATAGAGAAATTAAACATATAAATTATATAGTGAAGGTATTGGAGAGAGTGGCGAAACATAAAGTCTTTGAAAATTTATTTTAATTTTAGAGAATTGATTTTTCCTTATTGTAGGAAGGTCTGCTGTTAAAGTGATTCTTGTGCTTTTTTTTATTAAGAACTACAAAAAATAGACAAATAATCTTCACTAACTATAGAAGCGAAACACACCTTTTTTTGCATGGGTTTATAACACCGAAGTGTTGTAAATGTAAATATCCAACTTCGAGTGTTAGATATGTAAATACATAAGAATTTCTGGTATGTATGTAAACTTTTCAATGGACCAATTATAATGACTGATGATTGGCGCAGCATTTTGTGGACACCCAGCTGTTTTCTGTTCTATCGGATTCTCGAATGTCCAGCTTCGAGAATGAAAAGCCATTACAGTGAGCACTTGCGCTGCTCGTCCGTGGATTAAACCATGATGGAGAAAATGAGGCAGGAGGCCTCTTCGATAGGAAAAATTATTATATACGGACACCGACACGTATGCATACGGTGTCCGTTCTCACCGTTCATCATAGCAACAGTGGGCCTTATTTTAATTTTTTTAAATTAAAAAAAAAATTTGATGAACGATTTTTGTATACGGATACCGTATGCAATAATTTTTCTTTCGATAGGCGCCTGGTTCTGCTGCAGTGCATGTGTGCGCCGCGGTGGTGGAGCTCTCGCCTCTGAAAGAAAATTCCTCAGGCAGAATTGTTGCATTGTGCGGCCATATGATCAAAATGAGAACCATTCCATTTTTTTAGAAGGGGATGGCCATGATTAGATTAGAATTTGTAGGTCATTTTTTTAAGAGTATTTTCATTTTGTATATGTAATTAATATATGTGCTTATTTATTTATTTATTTTTTTTTATGAGATGTATAGCTTAGGGATTCGTTTTGGGATCAGATGTTTTTTTTTTTTTTTTTTTTACTTTTTTTTTTTTTTATATTTAATTTGATTTGTATATGTTTTAATTTAAAATAACTTATGTTTGATATATTTAATTAGGCATTGTTTGGCATTGTGTAGTGCTATTTTTGCATGTTGTTTTGTAATTTTAAAAATAGATTAATTTAGTTTTTAAAAATTAATCAAAATTTTTAAAAGTTATCTTTTTAGTATTTTTAAAAATGTTTATTTTTTTTCTAGAAATATAAAAATATGTGAAAAAAAATATACTAAATAAATATATTTTTAAAAATAAAATTGATCTTAAACAACTCCTTTATCCTCCTGCTCAAGATTTTGTTGCAGCCTGAACACAATAGAATTGGAAAAATTATTCCATACGGATCGGACACCGCACGCAAGAACATAAATCACCTGATCTACGGTCTCGATGTATTTGGGTGAGCCTAACCAAAATTTAAAAAAAAAAATGGAAATAATCCTGACCGTAGATTACTGTGATCTACGGTAAGGATCGGACACTGCATGCACGCATGCAGAGATGCATGTGGTGTCCGCACGCAATAATTCCTCATAGAATTGAGGTTTTCTGTTCATCACATTCCTTATGATGAGACATTGACCCAATTTCTCTTTACATCGGTGCAAGATAAGTTTGAAGTGATTAGATCTAACGCAATAAAAGTTCGATTGGGATTGGTATTACAACTAATAATTGATGCATTGCTCATGCAAACATTGCTTGAAACTACTGCTGTAAAGTAATAACGACAATTGGTTTTTATGATAAACATTATGGATTCTTAACTATGAAAATCGAACACGTGATATTACTGATTTGATAACAGCTTTAAATGTAATAACTCTAATAATTCTAAGTTCGAAGCTCCATTATTTTTTTTTAATAATTTTTTGCAAATATTATTAGTCCATGAAAAATTAGGATTCCTTTAGAATGAAACAAAAAATGTTTAAGTAAACAATCGTCAAATGTGATATCATCAAGCTAGTATTCTTTTTTTTAAGAGCTAATGCGTTGAGAATTTAATAGGACTATTTATATTTTGTAAAAATGCGTTTTTATTAGTATGTGTTTGCAATTATTTAAATATCATCTCATACTTTGTGAAGCTTGATGCGTGTTAGAAAATTTGCGGCAGTAGAGTAATGAATTATCGTCTTAGCGTTGCATGAGGATTCAACACACATTCAGATAAAATGAAATCAACATATGATGACACCAGAAGTTTTACATGGAAAACCCATAAAGAGAAAAAATCATGGGGCCTAATTCAATTATAAAAAACAATTATAAGTTGATGATTACATATGTTCATTGTCACATAGACGGGAAATAATTACTAGATTTTTTTAAGGTACAACGTCGATTGACGACCTCTGGTTAGCGATGGTTGATGACAGTCGATGACGGTCGGTTGTGGTTGGCGAAGGTTAGCGACGATCAGCGGTGGTTGACCGCGACTGGCGGTAATCGACGGAGGTCAGCGGCGGTCGCTGACTGTCGGTGTTCGTTGGCGGTGATTGGCGGTAGTCGACGGCAGTCGATGACGCCGGGAGGTCAATGGTGATCAGTGGTGGTCGACGGCGGTCTGCGGGGGTCGACGATGGTCTCCCATAACAGGGATGATGTTGGACTTGAACTCCTTCTCAAAGCCTCAAGTTCTCTCTCCAGCCTCCCCTTTCATGTGAGGGGTGTAGCTCTATTTATAGTGTTCTGGATATAATTAATGCAGGAAGATGAAGCAGTTTGATCAGACGGTCTGGAGAATTTCTCTCGATCGGATGATGTTTGATGGACATTAGGGTGTCTTAACAATGTCGGAATTGAGCAATCTCAGGCTTGTTGGATTCGTCTTGTTGAGACGCTCGATTCGACAATGAGATCGCTAGATTCGACATCTGTTTGACCTTCCAAATGCCTCCAGAAATTCTCCAAGTGTGGTTTTATGTTTTATGATTTGATCTGGGCTTGATCTGACTCGAATTAGACTAATTTTATATCATTGCGTCCGTCTCATCGAGCCGGTCAGTTTGACTATAAGTTTACTGAAATCATAGCTCTAGATGACTCTTAATTGAACTTTGAATGTTTCTTGCTCAAAAGATTGCCTCAAGATTTGTATCATGCCTCGAGATTCGTGATGGATGATGAAAATTTTTTTATTTGTATCATGCATCGAGATTCGTGATGGATGATGAAAATTTTTTGGTGGCGTATCAAAGCTAATTAATATTCTTATTTGTTTTGTATATGATAAGTTTGGGCTATTAGATCTATTGTCTTTTAAAAATGTAGATTCTGATAGTTTCATCATATACCCTATCAAAGGCCTACTCATTGGTCTTCTCTTCCTTAAGTAATATATTAGTGAGGGATTTATCAAATTCAAAATACCATATGAAGTACTCATTAAGGAGCATTACTCGAGGATTTATGTATAGGATTTATTGATGTATCTTCCTTCAAGAAGTCACTCTTGAAGATTTTTAGTGAGGAACTTATCCAATAATTAATTTCTTTCTTGTCCTCACTAATCACGGAATTTAAATAGATAGTTCTCTGGACATGTTATTTTATTGACCTTTACTAGGGAGTCTCTCATAAGTATTTTTAAGTGGAATGTTGTCTAATACTAGATTTCCTTCTAAGTCTCACTCAATATGAAGTATTTTAGTTACATAGAATATATGTAGTTTTTTGTCTATGGGCTCACTTATTAGGATATTTCCTTATTACTTTTTAGTAAGGGCATAGTTTAATACTAGGTGCTCCCTCAACGCTCACTCGAGAAAGAAAAAAATTTATATTCTTCATAACAATATTAAATAATAAAGTTATAATCTAATACTTAAAAGTTAGATAAAGCAAAATTTATTATCATCAAATCAATGATAAGAAATACAAAAGTCAAATGAATTCATGGAGAGCAATAGGAAGTTATTTATGTTGAACTCAAGTGTTTTACAAGGGTTTTATAAGTTCTTCAAAGTGATGAATAGGATGCTTGAATTAAAAAACCACAATGATTTCTCCTTTTTTTTAGAGAGTAAATAGTCCATAGAATCTTTTTGAAACTTTCATGTACGCATATGAAATCTTGTAAGGTCGCTTATTAACATACTCTTTTTCATTACAATAATGATATTTTCACTTGAAAAAATTAAGACTCGTACATGTTAGATTATTTAGAGTTGCACCTTGCTATTTAATGGAAACTGATAGATTATTTAACTTATTTTTCTTAAGTGGTCCATAATTAGAAAGATAATGAATTGTAGTCATGCTTTAAGAGAATTTAGATAGTAATTCTACTCATATTATTAAATATTGTTTTTCAAAGCAAATCATGCAACCTCGTGTTTCATGCAACCGCAGCACTCATTGCCTAGCTTTTCATTTCATGGAAAATATACATGCGAATTCACTTTGTAAATGTAAGCTTATTAAGTAAATGGCTTAATATAAAACAATGTATAAAGACATTGTAAACATTTTCAGAGCAACAGCCCCACCCACCTAAAGTCCACCCCACTCAAAATTAAACAATTTAAATTTTACTTGAATATTTCAAGTCCATATATATTGCAGGGCTGTACGTTAGTTGTGGCCATTGGGTAATTATGAGAAGTCCTTAAACAATAAGCCTCACATGGCGCCGTCAAACTTCATCAAGAAGCAACAATTAAGCGGACAAAAACCTAATTAAAGAACGATTATGAACTAAAAATAAAAAAACAAAAGTTAATTAACCTAACCTCTGCTGATGACCCCCTTTAATCATCACGTAATCTGCATGCTGCAGTTGCGCATCACTAGTAAACTCATAATTAAAGTTCTTAAATCAATCATTTTAGCACTTTAATTATCTATTAATTTCTTTGTTAAAGAGAAACGAAGTATCATGCAATGGCAACTTGAGAGCTAACGCAGATTTGAGGATCCTGCTTCTCAGATTCGGGACCATACTATATGGCTTAAATATGGCGAAAATTACCCTTAAAACCAACTTTTGAGTTATCTTTACCGAAAGGCTAATCATCACTAATTGCCGCGTTTAGGGTTTTTTTTTCTTTTTTTAATAAAATTTTAAGGGAAACTTGCATGCATATCACATAGTTCTTTTGTATTTACATATCTAACTCTTGAAGTTTGATGTTTAAATTTTTATATAAAACTTTATGGTGACATAAGTTATGCATTAAAAAAATGTAGGGAGATCTACATACATACCACCCGAGTCCTTCGTATTAATATATCAATCATCTAAACTTCAATTTTGACCCACAATCACACAAAAATATGCCGAAAACATTAGAATCGGTCGGTTTGTATATTGACATTGAAGTTTGGGTTGAAAAGGAACCGGGTGGTCGGCATGTAAAGGCTCCAAAAATATTTCACTTTGAAAATGTTACTAATAATGGTATTTTCTTATGTATATTAAAGATTTAAGTGTTATGTATGTAAATATGAAATTATAGGTATTAATATGCAAATACATAAGACTTGTGTTGTATGTGTGTAAATGCATCTTCTTTTATTCATCTATTTATTTATTTTGAATAACCTCATAATTAATATGAACATTTATTTAAAAATTCATAATTTTATACACGCACCTTTTCATAGCTCATGAACTGACATGGAGAAAGTGACTAGCGAAATTGAACGTGCGTATGATAGTATAATTTCTCATGTCATAACATATATGAGCACAAATTATTTGTTATTTACATGCATACCACCCTTTTCTATGTATTTACATATTTAACACAAACTGTAATTTTTATACTTGTACCACAAAGTGCAAATATAAAAAGTTGAAGTTTAGGAGTTAGATATATAAATACATAGAATGGAGTGATAAATGTAAATCTTCTTTCATATATAGTTCTGTTATTCCATACG